AACCCTCTCAAACAATTTGCCCGCCTCGTCCAGCAGCACGATGGGCCTATAGGCCGCGACCGAATCGGCAGACCGTCCCGGCTTCTGCAGCAGGACCAGCTTCCCGCATTTCCAGCGCTCAGGGAAGCGTCCGGACGCCAGGCTAGCGTCCAACACCCCCCTGAGGCGGTCCGACATGTAGTCGAGGGCTCGGGCCATCACTCGGGCTGGAACCCCGTCCGGCCCGGGGGCGGTGTTCTTGGATCGAATCCGTAGAACAGCCGCCCCCAACTCCGATTCCCTGACGGGCGGAACATCGACCTCGCTGCCCCCGTCGTCTCCGGCTGATGCAGCCATCGACGGGGGTGTGTGCTCCGCCCGCTGCGGGAATAGGCCCTCGACCACTTCCTGCAGGAAGCTGGGCTGGAGAGTCTCCGTAAGGGGGGGGGCCCGACGCGCGGAGCTTTTGTCGCACCGTGCGGTAAGGGCGACCCCAGGGGTCACGATTAAGACCCTCCAGCATCTCCTGTCTCTTTTCCTCTTTGGCGCGGCTAATGGCCAGCTTCAGAGTTTTCCGCGCCCGCCGGTACTCCTCATGAAGCCGGTCCTCCTCACCGTCTCCACGGTGACGCCGCCGACTGCGTGTGTAGGACCTCCGGGCACGTGTACAGGCCGCACGGAGGTCCGCCAGCTCCTGGGACCACCAGTAGACCTCCTTCCTTGGAGGCCGACGACCTCGAATGCGGGGCATGGCCGCATCGCAGATATGCGTAATCGCATCGCGGAAGCGGCCAGCCCCCACGTCGACCTCCTCGGTCGGAGCCTGAGGAGACAGCCACGAGTGAATTATGGCTGCCTCCTCTAGTAGGTCCCGGTTCAGTCTGGCAACAGCCCACCGCGGAAAGCGGGATAAACGCCGCGCCACGTGACCCCTACTGGAGTCCTGGGTCCGGGAGAGCTCAAATCGGATATACAGGTGATCCGAGAGCGTCTCAACCTCTTCCAGGACACACCAGTTCCTTACTCGTGCGGCGAGGGCAGGGGTAGCGAACGAGAGGTCCACTATCGACCCCCCCTGCTGTCGCACGCACGTGTTGGTGGAGCCTCTGTTTAGAAGACAGAGGCCCACCGAGGCCGCCCACTCCTCTACGGCCTCGCCCCTTGCGTCCGTCCTGGGGGAACCCCACGCAATGGACTTTGCGTTGAAGTCCCCCAGCACAAGGACGTGCCCAGACGCTAGTCGCCGTATCGAGGTCTCCAAGCTGGTTAGGAAAACCTCGAAGTCGTTCAAACTCCGGTTGGGGGAGAAATAAACACCATATATGGTGATCCCCCCCCACTCGACGGCAACATATCCAGTGCCCTTGTCTCTTAGCGACAAGGGCGGGGAATGAGCCGTCGTGGAACCGACGACTGCCACGGAGCCGTCCCAGTCACCCATCCAGTTTGGACGGGGAGGGACAGAATAGGGCTCCGCGACTACGGCAACACCTATCGACCACTGTGCCATGGTTTGCAGGAAGAGATCCTGCGCCGCGGCACAGTGGTTCAGGTTCGTCTGGACCAGGAGGCTGGAGACCCGATCCATTACTGGATCGTCTCTACAGCCTCCTCCATGGGCGACGACGTCGACGCACGAACTACATCGGAGGCAGCCTGGGTCGACTGGCTAGCCCCCGATGCTTGCTGAGAGTTGCGGGGAGGCTTGCAGCCCCCCTGCCCCATCTGATGATTGGCGGGCTTGTTACCCGCCGCACACACCGGGCAGTGAGGGGCGGCAGAGCATTCCACCGCCACATGCCCCGGTCGACCACAGCGGAAACATAGTCCGCTGCAGTCGAAACAGCTTTGGCACTTGACGCGCGTGTGCCCCGATGCTAGGCATTTGTAACACCTCATCGGTCTCGCCGCCAGGACTGTGATCCTAGCGCTCACGAAACCGATGAGCAGCCTGCCGGCGTCGGCCAATACTTTGGCCGACGCTACGGGACAGCTGACCCACACGGCGCCAAGCCCCCCTGGACCGGGGCGGATGGTGCCGACCCTGACGTTGTCCGCGCTGCACCCCGTCTTCTCCCGGATTACAGCGCGGACATCTTCGGCCGTCACAGAGTCGTCCAGGCCCGAGATACGCAGCTCCGCGCACTTGGTAGGCCTGGCGATCTTGACACCATCTGTGGCCGCGAATAAACCCCGCAGCCTCTCAGCGAAAGTGTCCGCCGTCTTGGCGCCTTCAGCCCCTGGGAACTCGAGAACTCGAGCTCCCGTTTGGGCGAGGCGCATCCTGACCCCCACCGTCCCGAAGTCGTTGGCGAGGCTGTCCCGGGCCTTTTTAAAAACGGCCGCGTAGGACAACCCGCCGTCAGCCGCCTCCGGGGACACGGTCACCACTACAGCCGCGGTTTTGGGCGGCTGCAGCTTCCGCGGCCTCTTTGCAGAAGCCGTTGCCACCGGTGGCGAAGGCTGGGCTTGGGCTGCTTTTTGGGCAGCCCTTCTGGCCCGCCTTCGGGACTTCTTGGAGCCCCTCGCCTCCTGCCAGCCCTCGTTGGAGGGGGCAGGTGCGGAGGGGCCCGGCAGGGGTGTCGGAGTGGGGGAGCGGAGGGAATGCCACTCCGCTCCTCGGCGCCGTTTTAGGCCCCGTCTTGGCCGGCACTTTGGCCTGCGCCTTGGCCGGCGCCTGGGACGGTGCCTTGGCCGGCGCCTGGGCCGGTGCCTTGGCCCCCCTCCTCGGCTTTTGGGGAGCCGATGGAGTCGGGGCAGACGCCGCCGCCGCGTAGGAGACGCGGCCTCCCACTACGGGGAGCGCGGTCGGAGCGGCGGCCTTAGGCCGCTGTGTCGACGCGAGCGGGGGGCGCACAACCGGCGCAGGGGGCAGTCTCGCCTCCAGGCCAGCCAGGCGTCCGTCCAGCATATTCCCAACTGCGATGAGGATTTCTCGCAGTTGGGAGTCAAATGCCCCTGAGTTTGTAGTAGGGGCAGGCTGGGACGCGGACGGGGCTTCCCGCTCGGGGAGGTTCGCCTGGAAGCGGGCGAACTGAGCGCTCAGCTCGTTCACCCGCTCCGTCAGCCTCTCGTTGGCCACCTGCAGGCGAGACACATCACCCACTAGGCTCTCCACGACCTCCAACAAAGCGGAGGAGGAGTCCTTAAGGGCCCTCACAAACGAGCCCTTAAGGTTCACGGACTTGGTGGCCACCTTGTGGATGACGGCCACCGCCGCTTTCGCCCTCTCCTGCACGGACACGGAAGCCTGGGGGGCATTTCCCCCCCACCGGCTCCCGAACCTTGAGCAGGAGATCCGCGATCTCCTCCTCCGCTACGGCCTCGCCGTCCACCCGTACATTCCTGTACGACTCCGCGTTTGAGAACGCGGAGCCTGACGGGGTCGAGACCGAGGCCGAGGCAGGTTTGCGTGCCCTCCCTCGGCGGCTGCTTGCCACCTTCGGTGGCATCATCTCCTGGGACGTGTCGGTTTCCTCGTCCCTGGAGCGTCCTCGTTTCCGGCTGTCGCTTCGCTCCGCCTCCATGGCGTCAGCGCCATCCGACGAAACGGCGGATCCGGAGCGCAGCCGATCTGATGCTCTTCGGCTCCCAGAGACCAGCGTCAGACTGACTTCTGGGAGCCCCATCGAGATAGGCGTCCCCGACGCCACCTCACCCTCAGTGGACGACCCATCCGCTCCACTGTTCTGCTTCTCCTTCCTTCGCTGTGCTTCCTTTTCCATTAGGCTTGCCTGTTTTCGTTGTGTTTGTCCGATCGTTTTCTTTTGGTTTTTGTTAGCATTTTCCATAGTAAATCCCACGAGTGGGGGAGAACTAGAGGTCCACCCGGGCATAGATCCCCCATTACCCGGGCAAGCGTAAGTTTTTAACCCAACCGAGGGGTCCGCAGGTACCTCGGCTTGGAGTGCGCTCGCGACTGAACTTCCCATCAGCCATGCATCCCCTGGCCACGCACCAGAACACGGGATTCGGGGAATTTTTTAGAGAGGTTATCTTCCTCGCGGTCCGGGCGGTTAAGCCAAGACCCTCGCCCCCGATCAGAGCCGCGAGACTTAACCACAGCGCTCTTCTCGGGATTACGATATGCCGACGGTTGACAGGGAGACTACGTCCCCCTGCCTGCTCGGTGGTAGTGTGAGTACACGCCGAGCCCGTCCTCCTTTCTCCACCGCTATCAGCGGAGAAACTGTGGCCCCTACAGGGCCCCGCCATCAGGTTTTTTACCGAGGTTTCCTCCTCCATGCTCCGAAGAGCGAAGAGCCAGCAGGGCAACCGGCAGACACGCCCACCCTGCTGGACCAGGCCTTGCCCGAGAGCCGATGAACGGCTACCTCTTCTGTTAGAATATTGGCCGCTGGCGATAATCCTCTCCTCCAAGAGGACAAGGAGGAAACAGTACCATCGCCAGCGTTTCCAGGGTGCACCACGGGGAGGTTTTCTAGCTAGCACCCCACATAAACCCTAGACCAACCCGCCTGGCCAATGTTGTATAGTAGGTCAATACCTCCTGTTTAAGATGAGGCCTATGTCCAGCAGTGGACTTATTAATAGCTATTAATGATGATGATAAAAGTTATGTTTACGGGGAATAACTAGCACTGGCCGTGGTCAGGCCCAGTGCAAGCTGGTCAAAACATCAGGCAGTTTAAAAGTATGTACTTAAAACCTATCGCGAATGCGTTGGTTCCCGTAAACATAATTACATATTATGGAACGTAACAGTTTAAATATGTCGTTTACTCGAAACCTTTAAATTTAAATGGGGTACAAAAGGTTTAAAACCGTCTCTTAAAATATTTTAATAACATAGATTGCTGTTCTTTACAATCGACTACACCAAAAATTTAATCATAAATAACATTAGGTACATTTTTAGCATTTTATTGCAAAAATATCGCTTCAAATATCATTAAAAGACATTTTTAGAGAAATGCCTTTAGTACAAAATTGGTATAAAAGGCAAAACAACGTTGAACAAAACATCTTCAAGTTCGTTTGGCTAAAGTCTTACGAACACAATGTTTTTATTTCTGATCTTCTTGTGTTGGGGTGTAAGTGCTGCGCCCAATAAAGCCCAGTATTATTCTCTTGAAGACGCAGCTTCATACTTTGAAGAGTTTATCATCAAGCATGGCAAACAATATGCTGATGAGCAAGAAAAAAGCGCCCGTTTCGAAATATTTAAAACGAACTTAAAAGATGTCAACCAATTGAACAACATCAGTCAAGCCGCAGTTTTTGGTAAATTACATTCTTATTTATATTTTTATAATCATCATCATCATCAACAGCATTTAATGGTTCATTGCTGGACATAGGCCTCTCCACAGAAAGGAGGTTTTGGCCTACTATACCACGCTGGATAGACAGGTTGGTATAGAGTTTGTATCAAGTTTTCCTTCTCTTTGCAATGCTATTGTCCTGCGTAGTTTGCCCATAGTCGATTTAGGTATTAGCATATATATAGGTACCTTTGAATTCCCTGACGTAACTTTGTACTGGCTGTGGTCACAGGCACGTACAAAGTCACGCACGGTACACGTTAATTCCCGTAAACATAATTACACACTAGTTTTACTGTTAACAGTCCAGCTTGGCGCCGCATCTGCTAGGATGAAAGATGACTTCCTCCCGTCACCCACAGGGAAAACGGAGGTCGTTCATCGATCTGCGGCGCCTAAGCCACCTGTGGTACCTGACCCGTTTTTGGACCTGGGGATCGGAAGAGTTCTAAACCTCTCCCGGTCCCGCTCCACCCTCTCCTTCTCGAGCACTAGTTGCTCTTAAAAGGAGGTGGCGGAGTTCCATACGCTTCATATACGTTACGTTCCATAGCTCCATAGGTTCCATAGCTGCAATTATGGTCCCGAGCGAAAGAACCCCCCACTCAATGAATTATTTACGTAAAAAAATATCCTGCATTGTCCTGTGCATTAGAGAGAATAATATAAAAGCCGTTTAGTACTCTTGAAATCTGTCACATTTGAACAAAACATACAATCTCTTCACTTCTCTTCTTCTCTGCTCTTCTCTTCTGACTGGCCTGTTAGTCTAGTGGTTAGTGACCCTGACTGCTACGCCAGAGGTCGTGGGTTCGATTCCCACCCAGAACAAATAATTGTGTGATGAGCACGGTCATTTGTTCTATGTCTGGGTGTACTTTATCTATAATTTGTATGTATTTAGAAATATATAAGTATGTTTATCAGCAGTCTAGTTACCATAGTACAGGCTCTACCTAGTTTGGGATCAGATCGCCGTGTGTGAGATATGTGTGAAATATTAAAATATTATTGTATATTAAATATTATATTAAAATTCATTTCTTTTTCAGGAATAACCTCATTTACGGATTTAACTAAAGATGAGTTTAAGAGATTGTATTCAAACTGTTTTATTGGTGAACAGGACACTTCGTGTAGTCTAAAAACAGATGGTGATATCCCCGATGCAGGTGCACCGGAGTCATTGGATTATCGCCAAATGGGATATGTATCTGGGGTGAAAAATCAAATGACATGCGGTGATTGTTACGCGTTCAGTTCTACTGGTAGGTAACATTTTATTTCTATAACATCACGCCGGTAACCTTCAATGGGTAGGTAGTGATATATTAAACAACCTCAATTTGCTAGCATTTATTTTGTTTTACACATAGTTAGGGCATGGATCTATTCATTACTACGTTAACTGACCTGTTGGTCTAGTTATAATTTTATTTATTTATTTATTTTTATTTATTTTTCATTGAAAGACCATACGTACAGTTCATGATTATACATAGACACATTATGAAACAACAGGACAATTAAAAGTTCAGGACGAATAAATACGAAGTTTTGTAAGCACGTTTTTGTTTTCCATTTCAGGGTTCGATTGATCTGTGATATGTTTGTATTTCACATCAACAGCCTATATTAGTCCACTGCTGGACATAGGCCTCTCCTTAGAAAAAAGGTTTTGGCCTACTATACCACGCTGGCCAGACGGGTTGGTATAGGGTTTGTGTCAAGTTTTCCTTCTCTTTGCAGTGCTGTTGTCCTGCTTAGTTTGCTCCCTTAGTCGGCTCTTACGACACCCACGGGATGAATTGGGGTGGTGACAATTTGTATTCTTAATCCGTCACCACACGGACTTGTTTGTATTTAGAAATGTGTTTATCAGCAGTCTGGTTAACATAGTATGGGCTCTGCCTAGTTTGGGATCAGAAGGCCGTCTGAGTTGTGTGTGTTGTTTTTTCTAATCTTAAAAGACAACTCCCGCACTAGGAATTTATCCTGTGTCGCGGGAGACTTTACAAACATACGAGTACATTAAACGGACACAAAGAATGCCCAGACTCAGAACAACAATTTGTGAATCACACAAAGTGTTGTCCCATGTGGGGATCGGACCCACAACATTCAGAGCAGTGGGAAGCGGCGAGGTGACCGTTTAAACCACTTATCACACCATCATAATCAACCTATAAACACCATCCGTTCATTCGGAAGTTATTATTAATGTGTTTTTAATTAAATTAAATCTGTTGAAATTGTAATGTAATATGCAAAGATACATTTAAAAGTTTAAGAAAAATAGCTCCTATGTTAAAATATATAAAAAAATCTGTCATTCAATTTGTCAATTGTCAAGATCGGAGTTGAACCTTTATGAACTGTTACAAAATCTCAGAATTGGTAGTTAAATTTTGTAACAGTTTTGACTCTAATTGTGATGTTTGCAATTTTTAATGGTTTTTAGTAGGTGAAAAAAAGGTAGTTGGATATTTTCCTAAAATCTATTATGTAGTTCTGCTCTTGTTCATGTGATCGCTGTGTAACACTTTATAGAAATAGCTATAAAAATGTGAGAGTGTAATACACTCTCACATTTTTATAGGTATTTTAAAAGTTCTCAAGTTTGACCACATACACTGAGTGTATGTGGTCAAACTTGAGAACTTTGTCAATTTTGAAACTTGAGAAACAAACAAACTTGAGAAATTCGTCAACTTTTATACTTTTTCATACCAGTTACTCTAGCTTCCTGCTCTTTTATCAAATATGTTCACTGGATAAGTTAGTTGCAAATGAACTAAATTTTACATTCAATCACAGGTCCAAAACCTTAGAAACTTTGTCACGAGTACATTAAAAAAATCCTATATAACATTTACAGGACACCTCGAAGGTCAATATTTCAAAAAACATGGATCAATGCAAGAGTTTTCTGAACAACAGATCCTTGACTGTAACCAGAAATCAAGTGGATGTCGGGGTGGAACGATGGGTTCTTCTTTCGCGTAAATGATAAATAATATTATTTTATGTTATTTACAGGAAGATTTCTTACATTTAATTGCCTTTTCTCATCAACAGGAAGTATCATCATCTCAGTTTAGTCTAGTATTACTACTGGCTATAAAACAACTATAACTGTCACTGTTTTTAATTTTATTATTATTTTTTGATTTACGCTGTGGACGCTGTCGTGAAAATACTGCACTTCAAACTTCAGTTCAGTGTTCAGTGTGCATGGACGCAATAACGCTAAAACATCGGGCTATTGACGTGGGAAGCCACCCGCTAGAAATCTTGGTTCTGTCCATGGTCCACAGCGAGAGCAGATCGAATTCCACAGCTTCTTTTGTTAGAAAATTAAGTGCCAGTGCTCTCTCGTTCCCAAGAAGAGACGCCTGATGCCAAAGATGAATCAAAATTAACCTTGCATCCGAAGGAAGGCAAGGTCCTCTGTACGCAATAGTTTAGTTAGGCTGATCTGCCGGGATTCTATGGGCTTCTTTTCTAGAGTATCCCGTATCCCTCATTGTGTAGTTTTAGTCAGTTCGATTCCAACATACTACTTCAGCGCGCGCTTCGTAATGTTTGAAGTTTTTAAATTGTTCAATCTCATATTAAAAGTAAACAATTTGACAATAGCAAAGTATGATTTCATAACAATTTTTTTGGCGTTTACTGAAAAGGCCTCTTTTGATTTTGCAGTCAAATTCTGTTCTGTTTTAAATGCAATAAATGATTTCTACTTCATTTATAAAATTCTTGAAATGTAAAACGGAACGTAACGTAAACAAAAACGTATAACATATAAATTGTATATCATATTTTGTAGAACACTCATTGATTTGGGAGGTGCTATGGCTGAACGGGATTATCCATATGAAAACCAAAAAGGGCAGTGCAGGTCCGATGCTAGTCGAGCTGTCGCAAGAATTTCGGCTTGCTACCAATACTCGCTATCATCTCAAGAAAAAGTCAAGCAACTTTTGTACCTTGTGGGACCAATATCTATAGGTAATGATTTTAAGTTTAAGAAAAATAGCTTCTAAATTAAAATATCTAAAAAAGGAAATTTCTTAAAATTTAAGGAATTAAATAAAAAGCGAATAAAATAAATTATGAGTAGAACAAGGAGACGGGACTTAGAGGACAAGACTTAGAGGACAGGATTTAGTCGGTATGATATAGTCATAATAAACTGAAAGTACGAAGTTTGTTACTTACGCGTAAGCAGAGGCGAGACTCACATTCTTTTATTATTAGGTCTTTACCTATGAAATTGCCGTTTTGTATGCAATAAGTGAAAGTGCTTATTTTTTCAAACTTTTTTATTAATTCTGTTATTCGAAGTAATCACCCATGCATTCGACGCATCTTTGCCAACGCATTGGCAGTTTATTGATGCCCTTCTTGTAAAAATTAGCTGGACGGGAGGCAACAAACTTTTCAAAGGCATTTTGTACTGCCTCTCGGGAATTGAATTTTTTACCCACTAAAAAGTTGTCTAAATTTTGGAAAAAGTAATAGTCGGTAGGTGCAAGGTCTGGTGAGTATGGCGGATGAGGGAGAGCTTCCAACCCCAGCTCTTGCAGCTTGGAGACTGTCTGTTGTGCAGTATGGGGTCGCGCGTTGTCGTGAAGGAGCAGTGGGGACGACCGATTGACCAAAGCTGGTTGCAGATGTGACCACCAGACCTTTTATAATCTTAGTACGTCTTATGTGATAGGGGCCAAGTTCATATCCGTCAACTAGATACTTTTGTTGGTACATTAGAAAGTTTAGCGTATACTAAAACAAAATACATAAGAAGATAAGGAAAGGCTTCCTTCCAAGCCTTGTAAACATTGTTTATAATTATAGTCTGATGAGTATAATTATGGGGCATTGTAAAGATAGCTTGAACGAGTGTCACATTTCATTCGTCTCGTTAATGGAATCTAAAATAAGTTATATGTACGAAAGCAGAAGGATGCTTACTCTTTGATCAATGTTCTTGCTAGATAGTTTAAGTTCATTGGATTTGTGTAGTAAAGACCTGGAAACTGAAGTATAAAATCGGATTTTGTGCCAAAGCCGAATTACAGAGGTCTAAAGGCTAAAGTTCATTTACTAAAGTATTTTTGTACTAGTTAGACGCGTTAACTGAGGACTTATTTTTTTTTAAATATCGTTCCCTTCGTACCATCTGAAAATGGCTGGATATGGAAGAAACCTGGCAAAACATTTTGATGATAAATATAATTCAAACAATCGTGTATCTACAAGCTATGGCTTTGAGCTTTGATTCAAGATTATGGCTACAAGGTTAATAAAATGAATAGGGTAATAAGATTTTAGTTGGCTATTTTATTGCAATACTAAAGTCATAACCATGTGAATTGGCATTTGACACCATGTAGGACTTACGATGCGACGGAGACTTATATGAGTAATTGTTGTACATTATAAATATTCCACTTAGCTGTACGAGACGACTATCTAAAACAATACACCGGAGGTATTATTATGGATTCGGTGTGCACCGGTAAAGTGGCCCATGCAGTTCTCTTAGTGGGATACGGAAGAGGTAAAATTATTTTTATATTTTTTAACTATTTCTGTATAAATTTCTATGACGGAGAAACCAGTTTAATGCAATTTTAGTCTTTTTTCGACTATAATAAATGAGGAAGTTTTGGACTGATGTTTGTGACTCAATTGTGGCAGAATGTCTGCAGTGATCTGAATGATATAAATAGTTGGCAATTTAGAAATTAATGCGATTGAAGACGCGGGCAAAGAGCATAAAATATGGAGTTAACGTTTAGTTTAAAAAGGGATAAAATATGAAGGGACGATATTAAGATGGTATGGTAATAAGAAGAATATTACCTTTCTGAAGGATTTTTTATATTCATACTTTTTAAAAGACAACTCCCGTACTAGGAATACATACGGGGGACTATACAAACATACACGGAAACAAAGAACACCCAGACTCAGAACAACAACTTTTGGATCACACAAAATGTTGTTCCATGTGGGGATTGAGCCCTCAACACCTAGCGCAGTAGGAACCGACGACGACGGTGACCATTTAAGCCATTGCATTATCCGTGCAGTCGGCTGGGAAGTGCCAGCAAAAGCTCGGACAAGTCAGCATGAAGGTGCTAACGTCTCATCTCGTACTCGAATGTTTCAGATAATGGTGTTGATTATTGGCTGATTAAGAACTCGTGGGGTGCGCAGCATGGTGAACAAGGATACTTCAGAGTTCAACGTAACGGAGGTCCAGACGGTGCCTGTGGATTACTAAATCAGGGCATGGCCTCCGCTGATGTTGAATAGTCAAAAATGACATTATTTTATTCTTCTTTTTCATTTTAGAAATAAACGTAAATTTAAAACTCTATCAGACCCACAACCAGAACAGAATACTCAGATTCTGGGACACAGGACAGCTGCATGCGATGCTGGAGTTCTATACCACCGCCAATTAAGAACCTGAAAACCATATACACTTTAAAACTCACTTAAAAAAATTACCTTCTTGATCAACAAAAACATTAAATTTACTTACCTCAAATGTTATGGGCCCAGTGGAAGTCTAGTGTCTTAAATGTTTTAGGCTATTGATGTGTATGAGTATTGTCTTCGATTTGTTAGTATATGTGACAGGACCTGCAATCGAAGATTATTACGTAGAATAATTACATGTACATGTATTCGACAGTACCTAATTAGATTAGAAATATTGAATTTGTAGTATGCAGCAGTAGGTTAATTCAAAATCATTGCTTACCCTGCTAAATTTGATCCAGAAGTAGGAACAGTGTACCCTTGTATATTTTATTATCAAATACAATTGCGGCTGTCGGGGCGAGAACTAAGGTGGCACTGAAAATTAGTACTGACGTGGCATCTATCTACCACAGTGTACACTACCTCACCTATTTTCTGAAATACGGTGTACAACCCTCAGCAATATGAAAGGTTCTTTATGGTACATAGTTTCAAAAGTATAAGTTAAAAATTAATAGTTATTATAAGTAACATTTCATAGACGCGGGGTTAGATACGTGGCACATTGACGTGACGTGTCGAGTCTGTCAGGTATTTGACATATTGAAAAATGTTGCCTTGTTAACTTGTTTATCAAACCTTATTTGATTTTTAGTTTCTTTGTGTATGTTGTTTTTAAACTTTTGTATCCTGTGCTTTATGAAATAAATAATATTCTATTACATTCTATTCCATTTCATTTCAGTCTATTCTATTCTTTTCTTTTCTTTTCTTTTCTTTTCTTTTCTTTTCTTTTCTTTTCTTTTCTTTTCTTGTCTTTTCTTGTCTTTTCTTTTCTTTTCTTTTCTTGTCTTTTCTTGTCTTTTCTTTTCTTTTCTTTTCTTTTCTTTACTGTTCTTTTCTTTACTGTTCTATTCTATTAAGAGAACAAATTAATAACTAATAATTAAATGTAAACTGGTACTGGCATTTGGCATCTTTTGAGTCCTCTTCTCCAGAATTAGGGCGAAAGAATTACTTAACATCAGTGTTCTGTAAGGGCCGTGAGTGATCCAATCCAATAAAGCCGGTCCACTTATCCCGCAGCATTTATATTATATTATTATAAAAATTAAAATATATATAATTTAATAATATCAAAAGATACTTTAACAAGCTAAGTACAAAGTTTAATTTAACTCACAATCCATTTGAGGGACAATCGCCGCTATTGACTAAATCAAAGATAGTCACTTCCATTTGAAATTTCCATTAAATTTCAATTTCCAAACTCATTCCGTTGACAATGGGGTATTCTACAATAGGCGAACAGTGGAATATTCAATAGTAATGCCACTTTCGTATGTGTGGCTACAAATGTAATGAAAGTTACCAGAATGCGCAAATTTCACGCTAAGTGCTTACTGACCAGTCAAAAACTGATTGTTAGACGTTCATTGATGTTTTTTTCCTTTGGTCCGCCTCTTAGACTATTGTAGGTTGAGATGGTTATAAATTCCTTCGCAGTTTTGGGGTTCTGTAACGAAAAGATTACTTTTGTACATGTGTTTTATAACCTATATAATATCCGGTCCCCCTCTGATTATAAATTCTTTCTCAGTTTTGAGGTTCTGTAACGAAAAGGTTACTTTTGTACATGTGTTTTATAACCTATATATAAAATAATATAAAATGTTCTATCAAATCTTATCATGTCTTATGGTAGTCGCATCAGCTTTTGAAGTTCAATTCTGATACCACATGTTTCCCCAGCTATATTTTAAACTCATGAGTCCTTTTAATGACGTTACTCACATAATTTGTAGGAAAAGATCTCACACATCGCTGAATATTAAAATGTCTTAAGCGTTACCTAACCTTTAAATTCCAGTATTTACGTTCAAATTAGTAAAAATACGGTAAGTAGACTGGTCACAGGTTGACTGGCGCAACATTTTTCACTCTCCGTTGTTGAGACCTTGAGTCTCCTTTTTCGTTAATTTTGCAGAGTTTTATCTTTTTAATCACATATATACAGATAAACTAAACTGTCCTTGATTTTACATTGATACGTAGTACTGACAACTGAAGAAGAAACCACTATTCCAAACACCTCTATGACCGTCTAATTTTAAAAAGCATGTACGGAACCTTTGTAAAACCTTTTTCGTCAAACAATGTAGTGTCATTGTGTTTGTATATTAATGTACACACGACAAAATCGTTATAGATAAATAACTTTTTTTCTGTCATTTGTTACCATTGAATGGCCGGTTCCAACATGTCTGGCTCTGCCTCTCTCTGCTATGGTGTTCATTCATCACTGGTGTGGAGAATATATTCGTCATATTACACAACAAAGGGCTTTTATACCTGCTTTATTGGGTCCTCGAGTATTGTGTGTGTTTTTGGAAATTATCTGTTGGTTTGTTACTTGAAGTGGGAGTTATAACAAGTATTTATAACATACGAAAGTAAGATTGCGTGTGTTACTGTAACATTTTCTCTTCTAAACAGTTAATTCAATTTTAATCAATTTTAACGAAAAGGTAAACATATGTATTAATACTCTTTCGTCTTCTCGAGGGTTCTCCAAGATACTTCACAAGACGAAAGAGTATTTATATAAGTAGAGTAACAGTTTAAATAACTTCAAATGAAGTAATTAAAACAAATTGTTTACTGTATTTATACCACGCAGCAAACAAATCCTTTGCTAATGGTAAGCCGTTACCTATGCGTGTTATACGCAATTGTAACAATGACGGCAGTTTTCTTTAAAACTGCGTCTCTTGCACATACGGTGATAAATTCCATACTGTTCAAGAAATATAGTATTCAACTTAAAAATATCCAACACATTTTATTAAATTCATATGTACATAATATAAATTTTTTGTACGCAACGTATAAATATACTAAACACAGTCAGATAGTACTGGTCCTAACTATTCCGAGTCCCATCTTAGTATTATTTCCGTGCATTAAGTAAAGACCATTGTATTCGTAATATTGGTATGAGAAAATGAATTCCTTTTGATGTTTACACTGCCTGCTGGTCTAGTGGACAGCGATGCTGGTTGAAGCCAGAGATCATAGGAGCGATTCCCACCCAGGACAAATATTCCGTGATGAGCATGATTATTTTGATCTATTTCCGGGTGTAGTTTATCTATTATATGTATTTAGAAACACAAATAAACCAGAATGGAGATGTTCTTTGTTATTTCACTGGATTTAAAACGGCGTTTCATGACTCAGTATAAAATTTAACGTGTTTTTGAACCTTTCTTTACTTAAAAGTCGTTCTTTTTCGACTTTTTTTTAAAGGCATTCTTTTTTTAAACTTTTCATAACTTCTCTCTTTATCTTTTAAAAATATAACTAGTTATAATAGTTACCAGCCAACAACTTTTTTTTTTAATTACACAATATGGCTTCTAGTGTCAAATCCTATAAAATCTCTTTTGTAACTGTCATAAAATATACTTTGACTTCTTATAATACGTCAAACTAAATCAAGTTTATTAAGAAAACAACGTATTAACCAAAGGGTGTTTATCATATTTATCAATGTCCGATCACCCCCTAGCTAGTGCGCGTCGAACCGTGTCCGATCCTAACCAAACTGCCCGCGGCCAAGATTAGGAAACGAGTTGACTCTTCTGTCTTTATCTATGGTATTAGAAAAGAAAGAGATGGTTTGGTAATATGACAGGGAAAGAGCAGGTTCGGAAAAAATTCAATGTTACTTGTTTGACAAGTTTCTAACAAGAAACGTGGGTGCCATTGTGCATTTAGTATCCGATTGTTAGGAACTGGGGTCTACGTAGCTGTAGAAGGAGCTTGTTGAGGTAATAGAAATTGTTTTATGATGATTGGATCTTTACTCATTTAAATCGGCCTTAAATCGGAGTGTGGACTTGATGTCGAATAGACAGTTTTTCAGTCATTGGTCCGACGAGGCAAAATACTAATATGGATTAAAACGGAAACCCATTGTTTACAGTCTATCAAACACACAAATTCATACTAATATTATAAATTCAGAAGTGTGTCTTTCTGTTACCTCTTTACGCTTAAACCGCTGAATTGATTTACATTAAATTTGGTATAGAGATAGTTCAAGTCCCGGGAAAGGACATAGGATAGTTTTTATTCCAGAAATCGTTCTTTAAGGGGATGAAACGGCTTATGGAAGTTTGTATGGGGAATCAATAACCACTGAACCGATTTAAATGATATTTGGTATTGAGATAGTTTGATTTTTTTGGAAGGACAGGCTTTGTACAAAAGCAGCCAAAAGCAAGTTTCTTCTAAAATTACCGTGGAAGAACTGACTCGACTGGAGTGATACCATGGCTTCGCAGAAAACCGGTGTTAAGCAAACAAGGCTATCGAAGGCCTAAAGTCTGGAGGGGTTGGAGCACTCAGAGCCTGGCATGGCACCCACGAGTTGTTAATCGGCGATGGTAATCCCTTACCATCTATTAATAGTAGAGAACACGCAGAGATCTTAGAGATTTTATTTCAAATCCGATTACTAACATCATCATGATCAGCCTATCGCCACAGCTGGACATAGGCCTCTCGCATTGCACTCCACCTCGATCGATTTTTTCAACTCCTACTAGCCATCTTACCTAAATCATCACTCCACCTGGCCTGTGGACAAATGAGAAACATGGCGACGACAAATTAACGTATATAAAACCACCATGTCATATCAAAAAAAAATATCTACTATTTTGAAAATACCGTAATTGCTAAAAATGAACTTATACATCCTTTGATGTTTACACCTTTACAATCGGTCGAACGGTTCTCAAGCGACTGGACACTCCCTA